GTTTTTTAAAACCAACATAAATAAAGCCTCCTATGAGACTACACCTTCCTCAAAAGCAGGGAACAAATCTAGTTGCTCTTCAGGTGTTGAGCACAGTCCCTCAGCACAGAGAAGTTCCCAAAAAATGTGTTCAATAGATTTAAATGTGGTGTTGATGTGAAATCAATAAGTTGCAAACAGGAGCATAAACAGAGGATTCTATCTCCCAATGTATCCATTTTTGATAGGTGTAGGCTTTTGGAGTTGAATTCATTCTTCCCCCACCATCTCTCCCTTCCTGACCAGTCCTCTGAGCTGTCTACAGCAATTAAGGTCCCTCAGGAACAGCTGTAGGAATTGCACATGCAGCTCAACTTCCCTTGCTTTACTAATGAGTGTTGTTGCTAGCTCCTGTGGAAACCCACCACACACACAGTCATGGTGACCCCATGCACAATGGAACAAACACTGCCTAGTCCTGTGCCTTTCCCATGAATGGTTGTGTGTCAGAGCCCTATGATCCACAAGGTTTCCTTGGCTGATACTCAGAAGTAGACTGCCAGGCCTTTCTTTTTAGTGCATCTTAGTCTGCAGCTCCACTGAAACCCATTCAGCATCACAGCAACACACAAATCCCCATTGACAGACAAGTGGTGGGTGTGCACACTGCATCGGCAGGGACAGAACCCACAACGCCCACATGAAGGCAAGAAATCTATCACTGAACCACCTCTTACTAATAAGTAACAGTAAGCATTATGGAGTGCTACATTTAATTAACATTTGGTTTCAGATGTGAGGCGAACAGTGACAGGGAGTGGTGAACTGTGAAGCTGGAGAGCTAAGTGGAAGCCAGCTGCTGGGGAGGCTTAAGAAGTTTGACACTAGCCTATTCTAAAGGGTTTTAAGCAAGAGTGTAACATGGCCAGATTTTCATTTTGGATAAATGGCACTGCAGCTATGTGGAGGATGGATACAAAGGTGGGGGGTGGTTAAGTCTGGAGAAGTAAGAGATAACAATGGCAGAACAAGAACAATAAACAACAAGGACAGAAAGCCATTTAGGAGCTGTTTCTAATTGGATGTCTCATAGGTACCTTAACCTCAACATGTCTACAAGAAAACTCACCATTTCTCCCCTAAATCACCCTCCTGCCACTCTTCTGTCTCAGGAAGTAACTGCACTATTCACCAAGAAGCTCAAACCAGAAACTTAGGAGTCAACCTTAATGTGGTGATTTTCATCTCCTAAACCCAATTAAATACTATATGCTGTGATTTCTATCTTCCAAATCCATTCACTTTCTTCGACTTCCCCACCACATCCTACTCCACCATCATTTTTCCTCTACTATAGAAATAACCTCCTAACTGATGTCATATACCCATTCTTGACCCTTGAAATCCACTCTCCATGTTGCTTCCAGTGACCCTTCTAACATATCATCAATCATGTCACTATCTTGCTCAAAATCCTTCAGTGGCTTCTTAAGGTTCCTAGGATAAAGTTCAAAACCGTTACCATCGTCTACAACATGCCTAATAACATGCCTACAACATGCCTAATAACATACCTAACATTCACAGAGCATTGCTTATGTGCTAGGCACTGTGCTATATTTTGCAGGATTATTTCATTTTATTCCCCATAGCCATACTGTGTAGCAGGAACTTTTTAGCATCATCTTCATCTTGAAGAAACTGAATCAAAGAGAGATAATGTAAATTATCTAAGATTGCAGAGTTAATAAAGTACTAGAGGCAAAAACTGAACCAAACCTGATTCTACAGCTAGTGCTTGTAAGCTCTCAAGGTCTGTTCAAACTGTATACCCCAAACATTTTGCATTACTTTCAATTCCTAAAACTCATCTGTTCTCTCTTACCATGAGGCCTTTACACATACTGTTCCCTATGTCTGGGATGTTCCCCTCACAAATTTCACTTTGGCATAGATCTTTATTCACATATCAAGTCTCGGCTTAAATGTCATCTCTTCAGGGAACTCTTCTCTTCATTATCTAAAATTAATTTTTTTTTTTTTTTTTTTTTTTTTTAAACAGTATGTCTCCCTTGAGTAGAGTACCAAAATTGTTCACCATCAGTCCCCAGCTCAGGAGCCCTGGTGGTACAACAGTTAAGTGCTAGGCTGCTAATTGAAAGGTGGGTGGTTTGAACCCACCAGCTGCTCCATGGGAAAAAGATGTGACAGCCTGCTTTCATAGAGACTACAGCCTTGGAAACACATGAAGGCAGTTCTAATCTGCCCTACAGGGTCCCTATGAGTCAAAATTGACTCAATGGCAGTGGGTTGGGTCCTCAGTTCTTACAATGACATTCACCAGGGGTTCAATAAATGTTTGTTGAATGAATGAATGAAGTAGGGGTTGTTGTTGTTGTTGTTGTTATGTGCTGTCGAGTCGGACCCGACTCATAGTGACCCCTCCTTGGGTTTCCGAGGCAGTATCACTACGGAAGTAGACTGCCCCATCTTCCTTCCAAGGAGTGAAGTAGGGGTAGAAACTTAATAATCTGGTAACTCCATCTATTCAGACAGACAAGAAACAAAATGAACCCAAATACAGATTTGTTCTACTAAATATTTCTTTAGTAGCTGCAAGGTCCCAACCAATATACTTAAGAATTCATAGCCTTGGTAGTGAAGACAGACACATAAGTATGTAACTGTAGCACAGTAAGAAAAGTGTCTAATTGTGGCAGGAATAAAGTGCAATAAATACAGAGACGAAAAAGAGTAGAAATCTATGGGAAACCTTCACAGTAGAAGAGACTCTTGAATCTGTTTGAAAGATGAATGAATCTTGAAATAAAAATCATATGGTTCATGTACGTCCCTTATGAAAAGGGAGAGGTGCACCCTCTACATGCTGGGGCACTTTACACCTCATTTAATTCTCACAACAGCTCTATGTTGTTTCTCACAACAGCCCCATGTTGTTTTTCATAACAGCTCTATGTTGTTATTCTAATTTTATAGATGTGGAAATCCAAGCTAAGAGAAGCCAAGTAACTTGCTCAAGTTTGTATAGAACATTAATGTTGCTGTTGTGTGCTATCAAGTCAATTAAAACTTAGTGACTCTATAGACAACTCTTCCATAGAGAGTGTCTAAGGCCATAATCTTTAGGAAGCAGATTGCTACATCTTTCTCCAGTGGAGTAGCTGGTGGTTCAAACTGTCAACCTTGCTTAACCACTGTGCCACCAGGGTTCCTAGTCCATTAACAGAGGAGTAGAGTTTAAGCCTAGCTCTGGCCAAAAAAAAAAAAAAAAAAAGTTGCTGTCGAGTCAATTCCCACTCACAGAGACCCCATGTGGGTCAGAGCAGAACTGCGCTCCACAGGATTTTCAACGGCTGATTTTTCCGAAGTGGATTTCTAGGGCTTTAAAGAAAGAGGTGTCTTTGGGTGCACCTGAACTTCCAACCTTTCGTCTAGCAGCTAAGCATGTTAACCATTTGTAATACCCAGGGATTCCAACCCCCATTTATTTACTTACATTATATCACAGAACTTTGGCCTTGTACTCACTTCATAGACCACTTATTTCTATTTTCAACATAACTCTTAACAAAATTGGCTATTTGGTTTCCAAGCCCAATAATATAAATATGCAGCAAAATGAAACATTCAGGAAAAGACTAAAGTGAAATATACTGACAGCAAGTGAAGGGATCAAAAAACTGTAAAAGATGGACACAAAAATTCAAAAGGTATGTTACAATGAGATCTCTTAGTATAGGGTCATACAGTCCTATGCACTCCACCCTCTGCTATACAATTCTACTTGGTGTGCATGCATCATGATGAGCCCATCACGGGAAAAAAAGGTCATTTAGCCACTACAGTCTAAGAGATAGAGAAATAACTTTTGATGCTTAAAAGCGTAGATTTCAGGTCTCTAGAAAATTAATTTCTCTTTGGTAACTGGATAAATATGTAGTAACAATTGTTTCAAATGTGCTCTTGAGAAGAAATATCCCAAGATCTTAAACAGAATCTTAATTTTATGGAAATGATTATTTTTCTGTTACTTTAAACAAAATTCAAGGCAATATAGAAAAACAGTCTTCGTTTACATATGCACTCAAGTAAATTATAAATTTTTAAAACTTCTCAGACTGTGGCTTTGAACAACACATGTGGATTGGGTAATTTATAGATTGACAAGTATATATAAAGAATATTACTGAACATTTGTAATACCTAAAAACAACCTTCCTCTAAAGAAAAAAAAAAAATTTCTAATAAATATATTAGCTACGAAACAGGGAACCATGCTATTTTTAATCTGCTGCTCTCACGGCTCAAATTATGTGAAAAAGCACAACATGCAGACAAACAGAGAAAGCTGGTTGAGTAATTTACCGTAAAAATGTTTTGTTACCACCATATATCAGGTATACCTGGGTTCAACTTTTCAGCTGGAAGGTGTCAATTCCTTTACAACATGGACTTTAGTTATTTTATGTAATTCTTTATTAAAAAGCAAGCAAGCAAGCTTACATTTAGAGAACACACCCTGTTTTTTGTTTTGTTTTCAAGAACAAGAGAAAATTGTTTCAGCAATTATCTTGAGTAAGCAGACTAGGAAACACTGAATATTCTTTATCATTTTAAAGGCTTTACATGCAACACTTTCCACACAGAACACTTTGTAACAGTGCAAAGTATACTGGCTACACTTTACAACAGGTAAAAGTGAGTATCAGAAAAAGCAAGTCTTTACTTGCAATTAACTGTAACTATCACACTTATTTCCAGAAAGAATACAGTTTCTGCCTACAACTCTCTAGAAAGACAACACTTTTACTTTTTACTTCAGTTCATATTTTCCAATTTACCCCCAAATTCAGTGTTTTATAGAACACTCTAAATTGAAGATGTGTTGTGATTTCATAAGAGTTTACATCATGACAACCTATTAGAAGTAAATACAAAGTGACAAACTGCAAGTAAAATTTCACTGTACTAGGCAGCTGCACTTATAATGCTCTCCTTACCTGGGCGTTCTTCAGAATAAATTCACTTTTCTCTCTTACATCTTTAAAGGGGCATCTCTTAGACAGCATGAGCAGGCGAGCGAGAAGGCTATTCAACCCATCCAAAGAAACAGAATTTGAAAGCTCGTCTGATGGACGATAAGGTGTGTCTTTCACTGAACGAAGATACTCGGTTTTCCTCAAAACGATTTGCCTAATGTTTTCCAGTGCTGTCTCTCTAGTACTTGAGTCTCTACTGCACAGTCCATCCCATCTCACTTCATTTTCTCCTTCAGCCATGTCAACTTGGAGCTCTTCCTTTTCAGTCTTCAGTTACCTTTCACCATGTCTCCAAAAGCAATTTGTATTTTTTAAATGAGAAACTTAAGAGTAAAATCACGGATATGGAGTCGTCACGAAAACACTCGTTTGAGTGACATCTGGACCAGCTGTCTCTTAAATTGCTACTTCCTACCGATCTAGTCTTGTTCTACACGAAGGAGCAGTATTCCGGTCAGAGATTGAAGAAAAGAAAGTTGAAAAGCGGCAACCTTACGGCGCTGGCTCTACTGGAGAGGGAGTCTCGGAAAAACTGTTTTCCGACTTGCGGCGTCAGCGGAGAGCCTCACGTAGTGGAGCTGTCAAATCCGTGCTCTGCCCAAAAAGGCTGGTAACAGTTGAACGCTCTCCAGTCATTCGGGGGTTTTTGTCTGTGCAGGCACCGCGTTCTCCGGAGCCTTCCCACCCCGCCTCTTCTCCGGCACCAGTCCCCGCCTTCCGCAGCTCCTCCCTGCGTCCCAGCGGGGAAGGCTCGCCGAACCCTGGCCCACTGGCCCCAGCGGTCCGAGACTTGAGGGCTCCCGGCGGGCTGAAGCCTCCTGCAGCTGCAGTCTCAGCGGCGACGGCCGTGTTGTAGGAGAGCGCCCTCCGGTTCTGCGGATTCCAGACTCTCAGGAAGACACCGCTTCTTTTCTGATCCCTGAGTCCTCGCCCACTGCCCGCTAAACCAGACGGGCACAGGGCGGCCCCGCACCGGCCTGGGCCACGGAGCTGGCGGAGCGGCAGGGCCCTAGGCGCAGAGCCCGCCCCTTCGTCCAGCCCCATCGGTGGGGATCAGCCCAGAGGGCGGGAGTAGGGAGGGGAGATGGGGGTCCTCACCCCCAGTCCCTCCTCTTTCTCCGCCCGGCACAACCCAGGAGCCGCCTCTGCCCCTGCGCCCTCTTCCCCGCCCAGGCAGACGCGACCCGCTGAAGCAAAGCCATTGGAAAAAACCCCGCCCTCCGCCAGACTACCTCCAGACCCCAACTCCGCGCCCGGCCGCCAACCGCTGCCGGCTCAGGCGCGTGCGTGGCCGCAAAATAAGGCGCATGCGCTGTAAGGGGCACTTAGCCTGAGCCCGGGGAGTTTTCGGTTCCTAGACACTAGACGTCCCTGAAGTGGAGAAGTTGGGGGTGGAAGTAAGGTAGAGTAGAAGTACGCTGAAACCTTGTAAGAGACAAGCAGGACAAAGAAAGAAGACACGGAGCACAAGAAACAGGCAAAATTTAAGATTAAACTACAAATAGTAACGGCCTCTATCACGCCAAACCCCAGATTTAAGGAGGCAGGGAATCCTTGCACTGGCTTCTGGGAAATGTAGTTTTTGTGGTGCGAGCGTTCTATTTGCAAAAACAACTACAATCCCCAGGGGCCACCGCGACGTTGCCAGAGGCGGCCTATGAGCCAACGGTTTGGAAGAGCGGATTGACTGAGATCTCCGGCTTGGTGAGCACTGTAGGCTTGGTTGCTTTCTTTCCTTTGTATCTTTGATAAGATTTTGTTTTCCCCTTCCTCATTTTCCTCTGGAATTTTGGAGACAAAGCCATCTAGGGTTGCTGCTCTTAGTCCAGCCCCTTTTCCCAATGATCTGCGTGGGAAGCACTAGACTAAGTATCCCAGCCCAGCACGCGGCGAGGCGAAAATTAGGAGGTGGTGATCCCAAGGTTTGGAGCGAGCCGCCGCCTTTGCGATGCAAAAGGAGAATGTGAAAACGGGTGCTCCGCGCTGTTGCCGCTGCGTGCGCCCTCTGTAATGAACACGCGCGGGATGGATTCGGGATACTTGTGCAATTGAGCCTTTGTTAGCCTCTGCGTAATGATATTCTGTGCTTTTTTGCTCCTATGAATCAGAACCACGGCATCTACAGCGACTTGTACAATCCGTTTCGAATGAGACTAATAGAAAGAGTCCTCGGTTTTCTTAGATATGAATTCTTGCAGGCTTTAAGGATACCATATGGAAAACAAAAAACTATTGAAATCTCCAAAATTTAGTATCTTTAAAACATTGAGTCGTTTGTGTACAAATTACTATTTGATTTTCAAAGTCATACCTCTCTTGAGAATAGTCGAGGTCTGAAAGGCCATCAGTGGACTGACAGATGAGAATTAATTCTTCACGTTGCAGAACACATGTAGTTCCAAAAATTTTGTCTTGCTTGGCACGGTATAAACAGTGAGACGCAGTCTCTATCTAGTTGAACAATGAAAAACGAGACACTGGATAATAGTGTTATTTTGGGGGTGTCTAGAAAGAGGGCACCAAGCCAAGTCTTGGAAAGTCAGTGGTCTTTTTCCCAGGGGAGGTGGGGGCCGAAGGGAGAGCCTATGCTGAGGCCCAGAAGTGAGAGAGGTATGGTACTTTAAGGAAACTGCAATGAGCCATAAAGAACCTCTGGTAGTGTAGTGGATAAGGGTGGTAATGAGAAGGCGGTGGTTCAAACCCACCAGCTGCTCCAAGGGAGGAAGATGAGGCTATCTAGTTCCATAAAGATTTACAACCTTAGAAAGCCAGTGAGGGTCCCTATGAGTTGGAATTGACTCAATAACAGTAGGTTTGGTGTTTTGGTTTGCAGTAAGCCATGTTGTTGTTGTTATATGCCGTCGAGTCTGACCCGACCCATAGCGACCCCTCCTTGGGTTTCCGAGGCAGTATCACTACGGAAGTAGATTGCCCAACCTTCCTTCCAAGGAGTGGCTGGTGGGTTTGAACCACCAGCCTTCTGGTTAGCGTCAAGTGCCTTAGGTACTATGCTACCAGAGAGTAAGCCATATCCTATATATTTTGGGAGGGATGGCTTTTTGCATATTGATAGATTTTGAAGATGCAGAGACCAAACCCAACCCAACCAACTGCCAGCTAGTTGACCATCTAGTTGATTCTGACTCATGGCAAGCCTATAGTATCCCATAAGGTTTTCAAGGCTATACATCTTTACAGAAGCAGACTGCCTCATCCTTCTCCCACAGAAGTGCTGGTGGGATCAAACCTGCGACCATTTGGTTCGCAGCCCAATGCTTCAACCACAGTGCCACAAGAGCTCCTTTGCAGAAAGACAGGTATTGTGAATTTTTCAGATAGTTTTTGAAAGTGACCAATGAATTGGTCTAATTTGGCAAGCCTCAACATTCCAATGCTATTGGTTTGAATTAGAAAAAAAATGGTTTTAACTATTCTTATAAATGTGATTTTAAAAACCTTTTTTGTTGTTGTTGTGGATTAATTTTTCTTTACCTAGCCCACAAAGAGTAGAGTAGTTTCTCAAGGCCAACTACCCTTGCCACTCCATAGTTGAATATGATCTCATCCATACCCATCCATGGCTTCACCAGCACCTATGTATTTGTAGATGACTCCCAATGTATAACTTCATCAGCTTCACCTCTCATCTTTCATATATCCAGTTACCTCCTTGATATTTCTTATTGGAGATCTTAAACTCAACATGCCCCAAACCAAATGCACAGTTATCCCCTATGAATCTGATCCTTTTCCAGTGTTCCCTATCTTAAAAACACTGCCATCCATCCACTTGTGAAAATTTGAAAGCTAAGCATCATCCTTCATTCCTTCTGTCATTCATAACTCTATAGCCAAATTACTACCAAGTTCTAATAGCCTTACCTCCCAAATACCCTCAAAACCAAAAAACCAAACTCACTGCAATCGAGTCAATTCCAACTCAGTGACCCCCATTGAGTTTCCGAGATGGTAAATCTTTATGGAAGTAAATTGCCCCATTTTCCTTCCTTGGAGTGGCTGGTAGGTTTGAACCGCCAACCTTCTGGTTAGTTGTAGATGCCATAGGTGCTACACTACCAGAGCTTCTTCAAATACCCTCACGTCCCACCCAGTTCTCTCTGTCTAGTACCATCCTATTTGTTGAATGCCTATATAAGAGGACCCTAGGAATATAGCACTGAGCACAAGATATTAGCCTTCTGTCAGAGAGCTTGTGTTCTACTAAGGGAGAGAGGCAATACATAAATATGTAAATGTATGGTATAGGAGCTCTGGTGGCATAGTGCCTAAGGCACCTGACTGCTAACCAGAAGGCTGGTGGTTCAAACCCACCAGTTGCTTCTCAGAAGGAAGATTGGGCAATCTACTTCTGTAGTGATACTACTGCCTCAGAAACCCAAGGAGGGGTCGCTATGAGTTGGATCCGACTCGACGGCAGTGAGTTTGGTTTTTGGTTTATAGTATGTCAAATGAAGGCATGCTTTGGAGAAAAAATTGAGAAAGGGATTGGGGAGTGTTCAATTGTGGGAACAGTCCTTTTTTTTTATTATTGTGATTTGGGTGAAGGAGCAGAGTTCACTTTTAAATAAGGTAATCAGAGAACATTTAATCAGGAAGGAGACATTGAGAGAACCTGAAGATGCTAGAGGTAAGAATATTCAGGTGGAGAGAATAGCCAGTACAAAGCCTATGGGTGGAGCATACCTGCACATTTGGGTTGTTAGCTGCTGTGGAGTTGGTCTTGACAACAGTACAAATGCTCGGTCCTGCGTCATCCCCATCATTAGTTGCAGATAGAACCATTGTGAGCCACAGGGTTTTTATTGGCTGGTTTTCAGAAGTAGATCGCCAGGTCTTTCTTCCTAGTTCATCTTAATCTGAAAGCTCCACAGAAACATGTTCAGTGTCATAGCAACACATAAGGCTCTACTGACAAATGGGTGGTAGCTGTGCATGAGGTGCATCAACTGGAAATAGAATCCATCTCCCAAATGGAAGGCGAGAATTCTGCTGCTAAACCACCGGTGCTCCCCCATGCACATTTGAGAAAGGAAGCTAATGTGGCTGGAGCACCAGGAGTGCAGGAAAATACAGCAGCATAAGTTCACAGAGGAAGAGGGTAGTAGCAGGAGATCGTGGAAGATCATCTTCTGATTGAGATGAGGAGCTGTTGGAGGATTTTAAGCAAAGGAGAGCATAATCCCACTTTTTTTTTAATGAACTACTTCCTTTAAATTGTTTTGAGCATAGGCCATGGGGGATAGGAGAAGCAAGGGTACAAGCAGAGAGACTGGTTA